TTTTGGAGGCAAAAAAAATAGAAGACCAAGTCTTATTTTCAGGGAAACCCAGGAGCAAGGGAGAGGGGAAGGGAAGTTGCCTGCAGAACAGAGAGCAAGGGAAAATTTTAGAGGTGCCAAATTTATTTTCCTGGGATTAGAACATTTCTAAACTGAAGATGTCTTTTGGCAAGGTTGCCTGTCTCCCAGTGTTGTTTTTGGGGACAAGAGCAGAAGTTGACAGTATTCCAACAGTTTAAGAGCCCTTCCCCTCCCCTTACACTTAGCTATGATGCAAACGTGCTCTGGACACATCTTTTATTCTTTAATTTATGTAGCCAAGGAGTGAGACAGCCTTAAATTGTCTTTAGCAGACCTAATATAACTATACTAATAACTATACTACAACAACATCAGATAACAATGGTTGAGGCCCCCAGAAAAACAAGAGCCAGAACTTGGTATCACCCTCGACACCCGAAGCGATAGAAAGGGGAAAGTAAAGAAGAGGAGAAGGAGAACTAATATTAAGGTAGTTTTCTTCCAGCATTGTCCAAAGACAGCCTTAAGGTGTCTAAATCAGGCAACTGGGAACAGAGGTGTGATGGATATTGGCTGAGGGGACAGAAAACTTCATATCAATGTTAGCTTTTTGCTAACTCAAAAATACTGCAGGTCAATAGTATCTGCCCAATAGGCTAGACTTCACATAACAGAATAACAGAGTTGGAAGGGACCATGGAGGTCATCTAGTCCAACCCCCTGCTCAGGCAGGAAACCCTATACCATTTCAGACAAATGATTGTCCAATCTCTTCTTAAAAACTTCCAGTGTTGGAGCATTCAGAACTTCTGGAGGAAAGCTGTTCCACTGATGAATTGTTCTAATTGTCAGGAAATTTCTCCTTAATTCCAGGTTGCTTCTCTCCTTGATTAGTTTCCATCCGTTGCTTCTTGTCCTGCCTTCAGGTGCTTTGGAGAATAGATTGACCCCCCCCCTCTTCTTTGTGGCAGCCACTTGGATATTGGAACATGTGGATTTCACTACAAGCACGTCCTCTTCCTCAAACTTGTTAATAATGCACACATTGCAACTTTACTTTCAAAGGTATTGTTTTGTACTTCTAATTATTTACTGGGTTATTTTGAATATTTAGTATCCTACAAGGTACCCACTGGGGAATCCAGATATTTTTACGAATCCCAAAATTTTAATGCCCCATAGTAGAACATGTCCAGGAAAAACTAGAGGGTTAACTAGCCTTCTTTTTCTGCCATGGCAAGAATATAGTCTTTATCTACAACCCATAAACTAGGCATTTCTATTTCTGTTTTTCCAAACCACTGACTAGAACTCCAGTTGTGCCTTCTTTAAAACAACTGAAGGAAAGCATTTGTTACAATAGTGCAAAAAGCTCCCAAGATGCAGTACAAGGAAACACTTTTTAGACAACGTTGCAACCTAAGTAAGGTAAAGCTACAATTTGACCCAGAGCTCAACCTTGCCATCAGTGCCTAAATTCAGCAATGGAACATATGAAGTGGTAATTAAAAATTAATTAATTTTATTCATTACTCTCATCATATCATCAGCAGAGGCCTATTTATCAGCCCAACGCCTAAATGTACTTTATATTGGAATTTCCGCTTTCCATATAGCTTTTGTCTTGTAAACTCCCCCCCCCCCTTTTTTTTTTTAAAAAGCAGGCAGACAGTTTTGTATATTTTGTTCACTTCCTCTCTAAGCCAAGCCCCTGCAGGCCCTGGTTCAGAAGATAGTGAGGCTGAATGCAGCTTACAGCATATATATATATATATATATATATATATATATATATATATATATATATATATGTGTGTGTGTGTGTGTGTGTGTGTGTGTGTGTGTGTGTGTGTGTGTGTGTGTGTGTGTATGTATGTATATATGTATATATGTATATATATATATATATATATATATATATATATATATATATATATATATATATTAGAGAATGTTGTTTGTGAAAGGCATCCTCTCTTTGGTCAAACTGAGCGCTTGCTAGCTGATTTTTTCCCTTTAGTGACCCTTTGCTTGTCGATTCCTTAGGATCTTGCTCCTCATGGAATTCCTGATTGGCATGCTCCCTTTCTCCCTGCCCCCTTCCATTAATATTCTCTGCCATTCTTTATTTCTGCAGACACTTTTGAGTCACAGGTAACCCTGCCAAGCACTCCGTCTAGACTGAAAGTCATTCCCAAGTTATTTGACTTTTCATTTCCTCTCTACTGCAACTGGGGGGGGGGGCTGGATTCTCCCCTCCCTTCCAGCTTGGTTAGTCCATTATACTACTGCTGCTTCATAGGCACAGGGCTGGCCCCACAATTCACAGGCTGCCCAGCAACAACAATTTAGCCTGGGATATGTGAGATGAAAGCAGTTAAATTAAAAAAGTTGTTTGATGGGGAAAGGGAGTGGGGATGGAAAGGCCCAAGAAAAAAATGGGACATAGGTAAAAGAATCACAATACGTAGGGTGTCAAATGTTTACCAGCTTTTAATAAGAGTCTGATCTCCATTCAGTCTATTGCAAATAGCGGTATTGCTTGCCAATCATACTGGAAAGCATTTCCTGGGACTTTTTGCAGTTACAGGTTTTAGAAAAGGCATTCAACCCCGCTAGGATATTTTGTTGATGACCAGCTGCAACCCTGTTTAAAAAAGAAGGGAAGGAAGAAGTCAAACTATCCTATAAATTAAAGGGGAAAGAGCTGCCTGATCTAACCCCATTGCTATGCTCTTTAAAAGTTTCCTTCCAGTCAAGGAAGATCCTAGAGGCTTTGTGGATGTCTCCATGTAATCTTCTTGGCAAATTGTTCAATTTTCTTGTCATTGCCTTCTTCCATAAATTTTTTGGGCTTCCCAGATTGAAAGTTTGAGGTTTCCTGATTGCCCCCACCCATCCCAGTACAAATTAAGATTAACCCTGCATACATTTCTAAGATAAATCAAGATCATAGTAGTGTTTATTATCTAGGTCAGTGTTTCTCAACCTTGACAATTTTAAGGCATGTGGACTTCAACTCCCAGAATTCCACAGCCAGCATTGCTGGCTGTGGAATTCTGGGAGTTGAAGTCCACATGCCTTAAAATTGTCAAGGTTGAGAAACACTGAGCTAGATCTTTTGTTTAGTATTTATATATAATTGAAAATAGCAAGCTTTGATGTTCATGATTAATTCTAAAACTTTACATTAGTCCCGCCTCTATTCCAGAAGCTTAAAAGTTCAATTACATTTAGGTATAGTAATTATTATTTTAGATTATAGTCTGTTTTTGCATTATTTTATATATCGGTATAAATGTTACTTGCAGATAAAATTATGTAGTTATTTTAAGCCTGTTTATTTATCAAATTTATAGCCCACCATAATCAAGCTACTCTTGGAATTATATAAACATCCTACTAAAAAATAACATTAGTTTTTGAAAAAAATATGTCCTGGCATCTATTTCCTTTTGGAAAGTTAATTTTTGTTTTCATTTCATTGTTGTTAAACTTTCACTTACAATACTTCCACCTCCCTTCTGTATTTACATGAGGCAGCACATGTACAAACAATCATATTAAATGAATTCCCCTATACCAAAGGATACTTCATAGAATTTTTCAAACATTGATGACAACACCAGTCATTTGTTAGGAGAAAGAACAAAATTGATAAGGAATATTTTGGCTGAGTTAAACAGCTTACTACATTAAACTGCTATTTTCTAGTTTGTGGTTCCATTGGGTGACTTCAACAAGACATGGTTTACTTGTACAAACACAGTTCATTCTCACAATTTGATTGCACCTGTCTCTATCTTCTATTTATTTATTTAAAATATTTATATGACAGCCTCCATATAACCAACACTGGCAACTCACACCCAGAAGTAAAAGAAGAACATAAAAATGATAGTAAAACTACAGAACTCAACATATTAAAAACAAAAACCTGGCACCAAGTCATATAGTCTCTTATCCCAGCGCTTGGGGGGAAAGCTAAGTCTTCCAAGCTTTTGGGAAGGCTAGGAGGGTAGAGACCAGCCAAATTTCAGGGTGCAAAGTGTTCCATAAGACAGGGGCTGCCACGGAAAGGCTCTCTTCTTAGATCCCATCAGATGGCAATTTATTTATTTAGCATATGGCAGATGGCAGTACTGTATTTAGAAGGGACTAGGAGCATGCTTATCCTGACTTTAAGTGGTACTTTTCATTTTGAAGAGGAATTCCTACAGTAACTTCCTGAGGGACTTAGTTGTTGCTGAATAAATGCCAAAGTCTGTTTAAGCTTTGCACACCACTTACAGTACTGCATCTTAAATCCGCCATTTAAGAAAGATGTTGAAATTAGATATTATGCTGCACCAGTGTGCTTGATGTGCCCTCTGCTGGGCATTAATGAATCCCATTGCAAGTCAGCAATGTTAGGCCTTCGAAAGGCAATTTTATAATTAAACTACAGATGACAAACAAGCTAAATATATATATATGTATGTATGCATGCATTTCAGGAAAATCTAATCCTTGTCTGTGAAGATATATGTAGAGCACCATATAGAAATCTGAATTTTTTTTTCTGAGTTGCATAATTACAATTTCAAGCAACATTAGCTAGCATGGTCCCGGTAAGGAATGATGACGAATTGTAATTCAGTAATTGGGGGTGCGGTGGGGGGACACTGTAGCTTTGCTGGCTGAGGAATTCTGGGAGTTGAAGTCCACAAGTCTTAAAGTTGCCAAGGTTGAGAACCCCTGCTAGTGGGTCTACTTCTATTGTACAGTTATCAACCCGTTCAGAATAGACACAAACTGTGCGCTTACGAATATAAATGAACCAATTGTTCACTGTTTTCTGTCCTATTTTCTGCGCACACGTTATGTGCGCCGTTATCATCCGGGAACTGGTTTCTCTTGCACGTCTGAATGCATTCTAACAGAAACTGGCCTGGAGAAAATTAGCCTGCAGTCACGAAGGATTCGGCCTCACTTCCTACCTAGGTTTGGTATCCCGCTCTTCTGAGATCCTTAGAAGCTGCCTGCTCTTCTCCAGAACCTCGGATTCCATAATCAAAACAATAACCTCTCAACAAAAGGAGATATTTCCCTTCCAACAGAACTCTGGACCTACTCTCAGCCGCTTCCACTTCGGGGGCGGGAGAGATAAATGTATCCTGTATTCCATTCTTTCCTATTAGCTTCGAGGCTGCCGAGTCGACGAACCAATAAGAGCGGGGTGGGCGGGATCTAGTCCCTGCGCGGGAAGATGGCGGTCAGCGGCGTTATTGCGATCTATGAGCGGCTAAAGGTGGTTTGTTCTTTGGAGAGCGGAGAGGGTGGGCGAGAACTAATTGTTCACGTTGAAGGAATGTGGGGGAGGGCGGGGCGGGAAGGAATATTGCTCCGTGTCATCTCGGTGTGGGGTAAGGCTACCTGCTTTTGGGAGATGCGTACCGGGCAGGAGTCGCCCTCTGTGCAGCCTGTAAAAAAAAATCTGATTATGTCGAGTTACAGGAAAAAGCAAAATGGTACAGATGCAATAAATGTATCTAGGACATGCTTGTGTATTGGTGGTTCTTTAGCGTGATGTGGAGCAATATACCACGAAATACTGCTTATGTGGACCAGTAGTGGGCGCAATTATTTTTGATTGTAGGCATCTTGGTTATGAAAACTGGGTGCTGGTTTAGGTATCATTCTATTCTAAGTTATGACATATGTTGATAATCCATGTGAGATAAAAGAGCTAATTTCTTTGCCTAAGGTACTTATATTACTGTCTTTGGTATATTTATTTGCAATAACTCTTACATTCCACTGAATGTGATGAGATTTGCTTCATAAAAAAACAGGCTTAGAGCCTGATCCTCTGCATATTTTGAGTTTCATTGTACATATAGCATCCTAACAGAGACTTTCTTCTGAATAAAAATATACATAGAAAAGTATTGGAGTTTGGATGTGAAAACTCAGTGTGGCTGCTTATACTTGAAAAAGAGAATAGATGTTGTATGGAGGACATCATGACCTTTCCTAGAATTCTTGAATTTTGATTTAATATAGACTTGCACTTCATCAAAGTTTAAGATTTCTTTAGAAACCTCTGGAACTTTACATACATTTGTAGTATCCTTCCAAATTCTATTTTTTTGTTTATCCTATGCATTCCCTACTACAAGGTTGTGCTTCAGAAAAAATATCTTGCTTCTTTGTATGCATCTATTAGAAAACAACAAAGTACTTCAACTCAGTATAAATAGAATAAAAGAAGGTGACCTCACGTTTCAGAACAGTATATATTTGTTTTCTGAGTTTTTGGATTACTAATGTTGCTACCTTTATAGCCTAACTATATATACTGAAAGATTTCTAATGGTTGTAATACAAATTGAACCCTAGAGAGCAATTCATCTGTCTTTTCAAAATACCTAGGAAGCAAAAATCTGGATGATGTTAAGAAATCTGGCAAACAGATGTGGGGTGAATGCAATACTGTAGGTGTAAACTCATTCCACAAATAGTTAATGGCATTGGAGTAGTGCTGGCAGATTTTAGGCTGAATGACTTCCACATTTATCCATCATGAGTTAACATTAATAAATGTGATGGTGACATGGAAGATCTCCTCTATACCCTACACTTTTTTTTATAAAGAATTACCACACAAATATACATGAGAAACTATATCACTAAGCTTATAGGTTGGAAAGGTTGAAGTCTTAAACCTCTCCTAGAAGCCAGCCAGGTCTTCATAGGTTGGCTTTGCCTTCTGTTCTTTATCACAGTGATTTGTTGGCTCTTGTTGCTGTAAAACAGGGGTCTTCAGACTTGGCCCTTTTATGACTTGTGGATTTCAACTCCCAGAATTCCTCAGCCAGGCATGCTGGCTGAGGAATTCTGGCAGTTGAAGTCCATAAGTCATAAAGGGGCCAAGTTTGAAGACCCCTGCTGTAAAACATATCTTCTGGAAATATCCCACCTGATGTCCTTCCCTTACCTCAAGGACATAGGAGTCCTGTAGCCTTTACTGTAAAGCAGCGGTTCTCAAGCTATAGGTCGCAACCCCATTTGGGGTCGATCGACCATTTCACGGGAGTTGCCAAACAAGGCTGTCCGCCATTTTTTTCCCCTTTTCCGGCGGGTGCCTTACCTCCCTTGGGCTGGGCCAGCTGGTGGCCCAGCCGGTGGTCGGCCTGCTCCGTCTCTGCTGCTTGCCAGCTATGCCTTGGCCAGCGCAGGGGGCAGCACCACGCATGCGCGGCGCTCCCGGGCAGGGAAAGTCTTCGACTTATGACCGATTAGGTAATCCTCGACTTATGACCGGTTTAGTCCTCGACTTACGACCGGTTTAGTCCTCGACTTACGACCGGTTGGGGGTCGCGGCATTAAAAAGGTTGAGAACCATTGTTGTAAAGGGTTTTTTTTTAAAAAAAAAAATTCTATATTGCCACCTTCTGGCAGGATAGAATGGAGACCAAAAGCCCATCCTCTGCCACTCTTTTGGGAGATAGACTAATCTCACTGGAGATAAATAAAATCATTTTTTTAAAAAGAAAAAGTATGTAAAAATCCTTTTTTCAGATTTAATAATCACATGCCAAAACATTCAATGGCGAAGAGTTACAGTATACTGCTAGGCAGCTCTCTAGATGATATTGGTCTGTTCCTTGTTTTACAACCAAGTCAGCTGTGAAGAGGTTCCTGGTTGTGTAAAGCACATAGTTATGATATTGAACATAGAAAGTAAGTAACAGAAACAAAATATTAGGCTTGAATATATAAGTCAAAATAAAAATAAATCTTTTACAATTTTTCCAACTAAACATTTTTATCTATAGTATCAACAATATTCATTTTATATGCCTACCCATTCAACATATGTCTCTGGGAAGCGGATAGAAAGTTTAAAACAATAAAAACTTGAATAAACAGATTTGCCTCTGTCAATTTTTCCTGAACTCTCCCTGCAGATCTCTGAATATTCCAGTCAGTTAATTCTGCCTGTCTCTTTTCTCAGCCTTTGTTCCAAATTTTTGTTCTCATTAAAAACATGTCTAGCAAAAAGCAAGGGATTTGGGAATGATTGCCCCGCTGACATGATTAAAAGTCATGCCTCAGTCAGCTTGAATCCTAATTGAAGCTGAGACATGGCAAACAGCCAATGAATGCAGAATGGAAGGCTTGCCTATACATCTACTATATACATAAGCATTTAAAATTTACAATTCTGCATATGTTTAAACAGTAGAAAATGCAAAGAATTTCCTTTCTTAAAATAGGTCTGTGGGAAAGGAGGGTGAGAAAACTAAATATTTTTTATGGTTGGAAATCCTAGCAGAATTCAAGGAAAAGTTTAGACGGATGCATAGAATGAAAATAAATATTCCTGATTTTATTTTTCATTATCCTCAGGAATTGGGCTGTCCAGCACTAGAGGGTGTCTACCTGTCAGATGTTGAAGACATAGAGAAACTGCTATTCAGCCCTTCATCCCATCGTTTGGACATATTGGAATGGATCTGTGTCAGGTAATGAGTATTACAATTGGAGCCTTATTCCCTGATGCGATAATTCTAACAGTGCTGTCAGAATGTCTTGCGCAGTCTCAGTGAAATCTAAAAATCTGACAGAATCAGCTCAGAAAGGGGGGGGAGAGAAATAGATTTTTTTTCTCCTTCACTTTCTTCTGAAGGCAGAGAAAAAATCTTTATAGCCTGCCTTGTTTAATATCTCCACAAAACCCCTGCATAAGGTTATCCACCAATTCAGAGTCCAGTATCATTAATATATAGAAGATATTCAGTTGTATATCTTGACCCTAGGGCCAGCTGTGCTGACTCAGGAATTCTGGGATTTGAAATCCATGAGTCATAAAAGAGCCGAGGTTGCCTACCCCTGCACCTAGACCACAGGTCGGCAACCTGTGGCTCTGGAGCTGCATGCAGCTCTTTGAGTCTTCCCCTGTGGCTCCCAGCCTCCTCTGCCATTTGCAGAAAGAGACAGAGAGAGGCACTTGCGCTTCCCTGCTTCTCTGTCTGTCTGTCTGTGTGTCAAAGAGAGTGGACTCACGGTGTTCTCCGACAAGCTGAAAAGCTTTTTGGGCGGGGCTCCTCCCTTTGCTACGTCTCTGCAGGAAGCAGGAAGGGCAGGAGAGAGCTAGCTAACCCAGCTATGCTGACTCAGGACTGGGAGTTGGTCCATGAGTCATAAAAGAGCCGAGGTTGCCTACCTCTGAGCTTATTGGAGAACAGCTTGAAGCCAGCTTGCCAGGTGAGCAGAAGATCAGAGGGGGGGGTAGAGAAAGAGAGAGGGAGAGAGAGACACACAGAGAGAGACCCTTTTGACATCTAAAATGAAGATAACACTGCATATATCCTTTTTTACCTTTATGAGATAGATAGATAGATAGATAGATAGATAGATAGATAGATAGATAGATAGATAGATATAGATACACATACATACATACATACATACATACATACATACATACATACAACAAGGTGAACACCAGGAAATATAAACAATGAAGTTTAATAAATAAAACCAAGCTTTCGATGGCCCAAAAGCTGCCATCATCGTCAGGGTATAAACAGGATGCTGGGAGAACTTGCTTATAAATGTAATCGCGTCTGTACATGGCTCCTGGATCTCGTGACAGGTCCCGGCCGATAAAACTTTGCCTCATCTACAGAATCAATTAGCTTATCGTTGCATCTTTTACTTACACGTGAGTTATCACCCACCTCCCCCACTTCCCGTGTTCGTAAGTCAGGAGGGCGTCCCGTGATTCCCCAGGTCGGGGCACACTTCTCGTCCTTGGGTTGGTTCTTATTCTCACATTCTTTGGGGCGCATTTTTACCCCCACCCCTTTGATGTATATGCAGGCTCCCTAAGGTGAAACCTCGCCGCAGGGAAAGTGGAGATAACCACGATATACAAGGGATTTGAATGGAACAGACAAGATATTGACCAGCAGTGAACTGAGCGGCAAAGTATCGTCACTAGCACGGCAAAAAGAAATAGCCCTCATGAATGTAGGGAGAGAGACGTCGGATCGGATGACAAACGAACTGGGATAGCGCATATAGAAGGAGATAAGAGGGTAGATAACATAGAATGGGGCGAGACACCTAAGTTGCGATTGCTAAGGGTGAGGAGGATCGGTCACAACTTAG